ATTTTCGAGTCCCAACGTCAGTGATTGCACTGTGTACTGACAAAATTTTCGTTTGTAATTCACTTTAAAATGGCTGGCAAACTTAAAAGTGAGAGTTTTATGGTGCTGAGAAGAAAAAGAGACACCCATTTTAGATTTTATATGTATTATTTAAGCATTTTCGACTTACGGCCTGGATTTGGGTCCCTAACCCCATCGTAAGTTGGGGAGGAGCTGTATGTACAATATAATATGTATGAATACATTACTGTAATGTCATTTTCTTGGTGCGTTGTAGGTCATTATAGGGGGGTTTGGGTGACACCACGCAACTGATTAGGCTTATTTGCATGAATTTCAATGTCACTCATTTTGCGATTTTAAATTTTGCGACACTAAAAGCGGTACCACTTGGAAGCAAAACTTGAGACCCTACTGTACTCTAATGTGGCTAAGAAATAAAGAAATTTCAATATAAAACTATAAAAAAATTAAGATCTTTGGTGTGTAATAATAATAATTAATGGTTTATTGAAAGAGCATGGCAGCCATAAAGCTAAAAATATACAGTTACTTAATTGGGAAATGAGTCACTTGATTGACAAATAATATATTGGTAGCATAAGTGACACAAATACAGTCAACCCTCACTTTACGCGGTCCCACATTCCGCGTTTCCACGTTTACGCGGTGCCCTGCCAGAACCCAGGATGCTCACATTCCGCGGTGGGTGTACCCCTTTACACGGTGAAGTATAATTTTTTTATTTAGCTCATAAAATTCATACAAATTATCCGGCCAGAATATAATTTACATTGCTGGAATTCTTACAATTTGATGATCATTTTGAATATAAACATCATAGATTTTGCATTAGACATACAAATTTTAGATATAATGTTTACTCTTGAGTAAATATGTTATCTTTTGTGCAAAATATATGATATTTATATTCAAAATATTCCTGGTCTTACAAGGAATCCAGCAATGTCAATTATATTATCCTAACTTTAGTCTGATTTATTATTTATTACTAAAAAGGTAAACAGTCTGGTATTCCCACACATTTATCTAGTAGGGACGTTGGTGGGGGGTGGGGGGGGAGGGAGGGAGGGACCGGCGACCGACCATCTGTTACCGTGTGAAGAATATTTTTTTTTTCATTAACTGAAGATTTTTATTTTAGCTCATAAAATTCATACAAATTACCCGGCCAGAATATAATTTACATTGCTGGAATTCTTACAATTTGATGATCATTTTGAATATAAACATCATATATTTTGCATTAGACATACAAATTTTAGATAAAATGTTTAATCTGAGTAAATATGTTATCTTTTGTGCAAAATATATGACGTTTATATTCAAAATATTCCTGGTCTTACAAGGAATCCAGCAATGTCAATTATATTATCCTAACTTTAATCTGAGGTATTATTTATTACAAAATGTTAAAATTTATTTTTTTCACCCAACCTTTCTCTTGAAGGGAGGATTGGTGGGGGGTGGGGGGGAGGGTTGGGACTGACCGCGCGGTTGGAAGAGGGGGGGAGGCAAGGTGGGGTACTTTGATTGACAGATAGTGTCGTGAAGAATATTTTTTTTTTTTATTAACTGAAGATATTTGTTTTAGCTCAAAAAATTCATACAAATTACCCGGCCAGAATATAATATACATTGCTGGAATTCTTACAATTTGGTGATCATTTTGAATATAAACATCATATACTTTGCATTAGACATACAAATTTTAGATAAAATGTTTAATCTGAGTAAATATGTTATCTTTTGTGAAAAATATATGACATTTATATTCAAAATATTCCTGGTCTTACAAGGAATCCTGCAATGTCAATTATATTATCCTAACTTTAGTTTGAGGTATTATTTATTACTATACCTGGTTTTCCCCCCAAAATTTCTCAGAGGGAAGAGCCAGCAGTGTAGTGTGAGAAGAGGGGGAGGGAGTCGTGTCCATTATTTGAATGGACATTAACTTGGCGACTGTATTTCTCTATTTCTCTTAAGTATTAATTGTGTGCATGTACCATCATAAAATTAAGATGTTATTTTTACTAGAACATAGGTATTGTGTTGGAAAAAGTGGAGTTTGGGGGTCAGCTGGTCTCTATTTCATTTAATCCCATATGTTATGTTATTCACTTTACGCGTTTCTCACTTTCCGCGGTACCCTGTGGGTTACATTAACCGCGTAAAGTGAGGGTTGACTGTATGATATATAATAACTAGGTGGGGAGAAGGTTATACTACAGGCCATTTCAACATAGTGACAGTGCAAAAGGTCAGATTGACTGGGAGTGAATACACTGGTTGATTACGAGTTGTTGATAATTTTTACAATGATTGGGACTGGGCTGTTCTTATAGCGATTAATGCGTGCTCACATGGGCTGGATGCGGTTGTAGTGTTGAACAGCAATTCGCGGACCAGGGATCTTGGGTAGAAGTAGGAGCCGGTGTCGAAGATGGTGCAGAAAAGACTCACCAAATTTGCAAATAATATGTGGGTGTTTCGGTTGTGTGGCATTTTGGGAGGATGACAAATTTGAGCTTGGGAAGTATGAATGTTGAGTAACCAGTGAGAAGCTCGGGAAGACATGACTACCCCAGCAGACTCCCAGGGGTGTGCAATATGAATTTTTGCCAAGACCCAAATTTGTATAAGCAGGGGAAGCTTTCGTATCTCAAAATAGTAGAGTCAATTCAGGAAATTTGTAAAAGCAAATATTGTATTTCAAACGTTTGGATCTCGAGGGATACAGTATTTTCTCGATATAACGAACTATTTCGAGCCACCCCTTTCGGTTAAATCAAAATTTCCGCTAAATTGAATTTCCGTTACCTTTGCTCGATTTAGCAAACTAGTTCGCTAAATCGAACATGATTCCATTAAATTTTCGCTAAATCGAATTTCCATTATTTTCGCTTGATTTAGTGAACTAGTTCACTAAATTTAGTGTAATTCCATTAAATTCCATTCCAAATGCGCTGCTTGGCACGTGGGGTTTGTTTACATCCACATAGTCTGTGTCCTGCCGCCACTACGTGTGTTGTTCACTGCTACCTCTCGGTCTACATCTCGGTCAACTAACTACTGTGCTTAGACACCATGCTGAGAGTCTCTCAGAAAGGAAGTGGTGTGGGGGAGAAAGTCAAAAGAGTGCAGCTATCATTTGGAAAAAAGTTTGCAAATTATAAAAAAAAATTGAAAACAAACACCGAACCCCCTAGTTTAAGGTAAGCCATGAATAATGTTTCTGATGTTTATAGGTACATATCATGTGTCTGAGGTGTCTCTCCGTAGGTGTGATCGTGTTAACAAAATTAATCTCAATTTAGCAAACTAGTTCACTAAAACGAATGAAAAATACAGTATAGTCTCCATTTACGCGAATTTGGTTTACGCGTTTGGTCATTTACGCGGCACCTTGCCAGACCGACAATTTTTATTTACACGGTTCATTCCATCATTTACGCGGGAAGCGGCGCGGGCAGGATGCGCACAAGGTCGTCGAGTCAACAGAACATTACCGAGTTCTTCACCCGCCACCCACCACAGCCAGCCCAAGTCAGTGATAGTGAGGATATGGACTTTGAGGGGTTTGACAAAGAGGACCTGCAAGCCTCTGTGGTGGATAGTGATACAGGTGAGGGCCAATAATCTGCCCTCTGCCTCAGAACCAATCCCAATCCCCGTGTACCCAGCCATTTCTTTTACTAAGTAAGTGTTAAAAAACCTAATATTATTGATATGTCTCTTAAATATTAATTGTGTGTGCATATCATCATAAAATTAAGATGTTATTTTTCCTACAACGTAAGTAACGTATTGTGTCTGGGTGAAGTATAATTTGTTTATTTACTGAAGATATTTGTTTTTAGCTCATCCAATTCATAGAAATTACCCGGCCAGAATATAATTTACATTGCTGGAATTCTTGTAAGATAGTGAGTAATTTGAATATAAACAAGCTAAAATTTCATTACACATCCAAATTTTAGATCTAATTTAAGAATTTTATTAGAGAGCAAAAATTTTAACTTTTGTGCAAAATATATGACGTTTATATTCAAATTATTCGCAGTCTTGCAAGGAATCCAGCAGTCTCAGGTATTATTTATTACTAAACCTAAAAACCTAGTGTTTTCACCCAAACATTTCTCAGGGAGGGAGGGGAGTCAGCGAGCGTGGGAAGAGGGGGGGAGGGGGAATTGAGTCCATTATTTGAATGGACATTAACCGGTGACTGTATTTCTCTTAAATATTAATTGTGTGTGCATACCATCATAAAATTAAGATATTTTTACTGCAATGTACGTATTGTGTCGGAAAAAGTGTAAAGTGTAGTTTGGGGGTCGGCCCAGTCTCTATTTCAATTAATCCCATATGTTCTGTTATTTCGTTTCCGCATTTCTCGGTTTACGAGGACCTCCACGTGTTCAATTGACCGCGTAAATCGAGACTATACTGTATGGAAAAAATTCCTTCCGCTATATCGAGAGTTCGTTGTATCGGATTCCGTAAAATCTAGAGCACTGGTTCCCAAACTGGGGGCCATGGCCCCCCCAGCAAAATTTAGGGGGCCATAAGCTGAGGCTATGTACACATAAAAATCCCAAGCCCCACCACACTAGAACAGCCAGTCAGCAGCTGACCCAGCCAGAGATATGGATTGGGAGAGGGGGGGGCCATGGATAAGGATCATATATGAAAAGTGGGTAATGATCAGAAAAAGTTTGGAAACCACTGATCTAGAGTATACTGTACAAGTCTCTAACATTCAATGCCACCATATCCCGACCACTGGAGTCTGTTAAACACCTTTTGTGATCTTTGCTCTGTAATACTTTTTGCACAATAAATAACACCCACTCTTAAATCTATACAGTACAAATTACTGGGGTATTGTATTACCTTACTGTAAATGCTGTATAATTATAAAGAAGATTGAGAAAATATATACTGTATATATTATTGTAAACAATGTTCATGCCCAGTCCTCCCCTCCCCCCTGGGTCACTGTTAGTAAATATCAAGTGACAGTAACCCAACAATTACTGAATCAAAATAAAACTGACTTCCATTGGCAGATGCTGCTTGGCGGACCTTTGATTTACCCTTCAATGGGGAAGCTGGAGGAAGGGAACTCCCTTCTGCAAAGTGCACCTGAAAATATAAATTTTGAGTTTTTTAATCAGTAATAAACTAAGCAATATATTGTAATCAATTATTTTTTTCTTCTTAATTTAGACAAAATAACATTATTCCCAGAATTATATAAGACTCACTTATTGGTACTGTATTCAACATCACTAAACCAAATTGGCTTCCCTCCCTTTTCAATAACAAACAATCCTAAACCAAACCAGTCTCACTTTGCGGAAATCAACGTCGCCATTCAAAACTGGCTCATCAAGTGGTGTCACCTCTGGTTCAAACTTGTACTCATAGTTGTCAGTGCCACCCCAGTTGATTAGACATTGATCAGGATCCACAAAATCCTTTAATGATTTCTTGTCAACAAATTTGATCTTCTCTACCGACTTTGGAGGCAACCAAGTTTTGATGATTTTCCACATTGCTGAAAAGTAAATATGTAAACTAAACTTTAATTCATATAGAGTAATAAACTTCTTTACTTCATATGCATAAGACAGATTTTTAGCTAAGTAAACACTGAGAAGCAATATAGAACATATTTTTTTTTCTATTCAAGCATTACCATTCAAAAGAGTTTTTTCTATTAATCATTAAATCAGTTATGGAAAGTGTAATCATTTGCCTGGCAATGCAGTATAGTACTGTAATGTATTCTGTAACTCCTACAATGCAGCTTTTCACTTCATAACAATGGCTGTAATTTTATATGTTTGTGCATTGTAAATCAATTTTATTACAAATATTTTTTAATCGAGCATTAATTTATTTCTGAAAGTGTAAAATCCGACCATTTACCAACATACGTATGGAAGTTTGTGTATAAACAGGAACAGAGTAAACAGTAGTTGCTGCCTGCCAGGTCAGTGACACTGAGTGATCAGCTGAGTGAAAGTTTACCCGACATCTCACGAGGGTTGTAGCGTATGTGGCCAGTTGTCTAATTTTTCTCTGTGTTTGTCTATTTTCTCTTTGTTAGGCTCACATACATACGTACATGTAGGAGATCTCAGAATAAGAATGGAGGTGAGAAAAGAAGCTCACAATGGCATTTTCTATATATATATATATATATATATATATATATATATATATATATATATATATATATATATATATATATATATATATATATATATATATATATATATATATATATATATATATATATATATATATATATATATATATATATATATATATATATATATATATATATATATATATATATATATATATATATATATATATATATATATATATATATATATATATATATATATATATATATATATATATATATATACACAGTCATGTAGTTAACATCCTAGGCTCGAAACGTGGCAAAATGGACGTTGTCCGATCATCACAAACTTTTATTTATACTTATGTGTATGTGGAATACTATATACGATACTATACACTTTCACTGTTAAATCACTACTGTAATGTGATACAGGTGATTAATTTTTATCTCTTGTGCAAAATACATGGCGTTTATATTAAAATTATTCACCGTTTACAAGGATTCCAGCAACACCGAGCAGATGGGGGAGAGGTGGGAGCGAGCAAGGCGTGGGGGAGGGGAGGTAGTCGTTTGACAGTTGGCACAGGCCCAGGTCTAACAGCGTGTATATTAATCAGTTCTTAGGTGACTAAGCTTCTCTCTTATAAAAAGCCAGTGAAATGACCTGGGTGAATATAATTAACATAGCTGGGATTCTTGTAACATACTGATTAATTTGAATATAAACATGCTATAATTTGCACTAGACAAAACAATTTTAGTACCGTAATCAAATTAGTACATGTGCACTCCAGCTTTGCACTAAGAAATCTATGTAAATCTACCCAAAAATACAATTGAGAAACTTTTTATAAAATGTACTACAGTACTGTACACTAATGTACAACAATTTTTATCTCTTGAGCAAAATATATGACGTTTATATTCAAATTATTGGCTGTCTTGCAAGGATTCAGCAATGCAAATTATAATTCCTAACTTTAGTCTGAGATATATAAAACTGTAAGCCTAAAAGCCTGGCTGGGGGGGACGTAGCCAGCCACCCAGCGAGGGGTTGGGGGGGGGAGTGTAGGGTTGAGGTGATAAGTTTGAGGCGAAGGTCTCTGTGTGTTTATTTAACAGTCCTACTAGGCTTCTCTCATTTTAAAATGCCAGTGATATGACCTAGGAGAATATAATTAACATAGCTGGGATTCTTGTAAGATACTGATTTATTTGAATATAAACATGTTGTAATTCGCACTAGACATAACAATTAGTACATGTGCACTCCAGCTTTGCACTAAAGTCATTTACAGTATTTCTTTTACGTTTCTTTTAGTATGGTGTGTGCATGTAAATGTATGAAAATAAATGAAGAAATTTATGTAAATCTACCCAAAAATACAGTAGAATTTTTTTTTACAAAATGTACTACAGTATTGTACACTAATGTACCGGAACTACATTTTTTATATCTTGAGCAAAATATATGACGCTTATATTCAAATTAATCTCTGTCTTGCAAGGATTTCAGCAATGCAAATTATATTATCCTAACTTTAGTTTGAGATATTATATAAAATAAACAAAGAAATCACCAATCTTTTATCTTGAACACAAGGGTGGTGGGAAGCAGGGTTGCCAGATGGCCGTTTTCACGGCCAAATTTCTCTAATTAGGCTGTAAGAACTTCGCCTGGCCGTGAAAAAATGGATAGTCGCGTGGCCGTATTTTGGCCGAATTTTGTAAAACCCGTATTAATTCCTCATTTAGTGGATCGTGAAGAAAAGTCTAGCAGATTTTCAAATTTCACAATGAAAATGCTGGCTAGGTGATCTCACCTTGTCGTGACCTCACCTCTTCACATGTTTACGTGACCTACTGAGCTGACTGATCTTTCTAGTTACTACCTTAGTTGTTAGTTCTCATATTTGAGTTGTTCAGGCTGAACGTGTCCAGCATATGGGTTAAGCTTCAGAGCTTACAAAGCCATTTGAATTACTTTCTGAAATTCCGAGTGCTAGTTTTCAAAATGTCCACTAGTAAATGAAAAGGGTCCTACGACAGTGGTAGAAAATATAACAAACAAGGGGACGATGACGAACTAGACGTTTTTGATAACGCCAACTAGTGTTATCAAGTTCTCCACCAATATCGTTCTCCACCACCATTTCAGATTAAGGTAAATCTTCACTGTAGATTATGGATATTATGTTTATGTAATTATTGGGCTCTCAATTCTAAGTGAAAATTTGGTTTTATTACGACATTTTAAGTGGATATTGTAGGGGATACTTTTATTTTGTGAGGATTGCAAAAATTGCCTTGTGCTTCCCATCCAAAAAGTTTTGGCCGAATCTTGGGCAATTTGGCCGTGAGATGGCGTGAAGTTGGCCGTGAAGCTTGTTGTACATCTGACAACCCTGGTGGGAAGACGGCGGAGAGGGGGGGTGAGGTGACAATGTCTGGCGTTTGTTTGTTTATTTATTTGAGATAAGATTTGACAGTTGGCGCTGAAGGCCTGCCTGCGTGTTTATTTATCATTACTTAAGAGTGACTAAGCTCTTCTCATAATTTTCCACCCAAACGACCTGGGTGAATATAACTTACATTGGAGGGATTCTTGTAAGATAGTAATTTATTTGAATGTTTTTTTTTTTCAATTTAAATTTAAATTGTTTATTCCTTGATAGAGGAAGCGGGATCCTAGTGCTGTCACTTGGTACCCCTGTACCATAACAACAGAAGCAACTGGCCAGTGTCACAAGTATATACAGTACAGTACAGTTATCCCTTGGTTATCGCGCCTAATTGGGACCCCACCGATAACGAAAGTACAGAACCTATGGGATTTATTCTAATTGGTTAAAGGCACCCAAGACCCAACCCCAAGTTTCTCATTTTACGACCATTTAGACCCACTAAATATATATATAATGTTATGGTAAATATCATAAACACACACAGGCATGGCTAGGTTTATTACAAAGCGATGAAAAGGGTACGTTTAATACTGTAGTCCACAAAACATGTAGCTATGCTTTATTTATTTGGTCCCCCATCACACGAGTCAGTTTTCTCTTACATCAGGATGCCTGAGTCCTCCGTTTTCTCTCTTAATCTTAGAGCGCACCAGAAACTTTACTATTTTTAGTAATGCCACAGAATTTGAAATTGCAAACCCCAATTGCAACTAGGGTTGCAATTGTTGAGGCAACTAGATATGTCTGATTACAGCAAATGTGTTATTGTCAATTTGTAGGTGAAAGATTTTATCCTCAACAGATGTAGGTTAACATTTCACCTGTAGGCAAAAGCTTAAAAAAGTCTAAGTAAGGAAACATATTCCTTTAACACATAATATCTGATCAGTACGGGGAGGATCATCGTGTCTCTGTCAGGGGTGCATTAGGTGGTGGTCAGCAAGCGTCACACTTTTTTTTTTGGGGGGGCCGGGGCGTTGTTCAGTTGGGCGTTAACCGGCACACTGACTCTCTGTGTGTGTGTGTGTGTGTGTGTGTGTGTGTGTGTGTGTGTGTGTGTGTGTGTGTGTGTGTTTGTGTGTGTATATATATATATATATATATATATATATATATATATATATATATATATATATATATACAGTTGTACCCCGCTTAACACGGTCAATTGAACCCACAGGGTACCGCGTTAAGTGAAAACCGCGTTAAGTGAACAACAGAACATATGGGAGTAATTCCAAAAGAGACTGGCCGGACCCCCAAACTCCACTTTTTGACGACACACAACTATGTTCTAGTAAAAATAACATCTTAATTTTATGATGGTACATGCACACAATTAATACTTAAGAGAAATGGAGAAATACAGTCGCCAAGTTAATGTCCATTCAAATAACGGACTCAACTCCCTCCCCCTCTTCTCACACTACACTGCTGGCTCTTCCCTCTCTGAGAAATTTTGGGGGGAAAACCACTAGATTTTAATAAATAATACCTCAAACTAAAGTTAGGATAATATAATTGACATTGCTGGATTCCTTGTAAGACCAGGAATATTTTGAATATAAATGTCATATATTTTACACAAAAGATACCATAGTTACCTAGAGAAAAATTTTTATCTAAAAATTGTAAGTTTAAAGCAAAATATATGATGTTTATATTCAAAATGATCACCAAATTATAAGAATTCCAGCAATGTAAATTATATTCTGGCCTGGTAATTTGTATGAATTTTATGAGCTAAAACAGGCAGTCAGGCAGGGTGGAGGGTGGGGCAAATCTAAAAATAGCGTCTCGGACACTCACCGCGTATATGTGGAAAAAATCCGCGTTAAGTGAAAGTTCAGCTTTGGCAAGGCACTGCGTATATGCGAAAACGCGTTAAGTGAAACCGCGTTAGGCGGGGTAAAACTGTATATCTAAAATTTG